CGCGATACTTAGTAACAACTTATGTAATGTGGAGCGAGGGGCTTTGTTTGAAGTGTTGGACTAGGTGCGGAATGAAGGAGATGGAGCGACAGTGGGTATTAAAAGGCTAGATGTGCGGTGAGGGTGACTGAACTGGGTGTGGATATCCGAGCAAACTCCCCGTGGGGTGCTTCGGGAACTTGGGGAAAGCGGTGCAGGTTTTCCAGGGCATTCGGTGGCAGAAAAATAGATGGGATCCAGGAAATGAGTAGTTGTTTGTTTGGGGCGCCTGATAGAGACTTTTTCTTGCGAACGTCATGTAAGAGTACACTGCTGGTACCTAACCGACCGAGAATTATAAAGGCTTTAACTTGGACATCACTGTCTGATTTCCCATTAACGGGGCTCCTCTAGTCGCATGCCATACCTGTAGCTATGAGGACGGATTTCTTCTCTTCTCCCCCCCCGACCCCCATGTGGACATGCATTGGGTTACACAACAAAGGCTTCTAGTTCAATCCCTATGCCTTCCGTGCAATCAGACTTTGGGGTATCCTCACAGCCAGATTGGGTAGGTTGAAGATTCGGAAGTGGAGTTGGTACCTAGGGTGAAGGGGCGCGCTTAATAATTTAGAGCACTACCGGTATCGGAGGAGAAGCTCATGGCTTGGGTTGATGTATTGGGTCGATTGGGAGCCGATTTCGGATTATCTATTTATCCTGGTGTTACAGGCCCGGAGCGTAACAGGCGGTGGTCAAGATAGGAAAGAATGACAATATTAGGCCATTTGTTGCGGGTCTCACGAATAGAGTTTACCGGTTCCCCGGGCTGGGTATATATTTCCCATAGCAACGATAATGATCCCGTAAGAGAACTCCGTTCTTAGTGTATGATCAAGAGAGAAGGATTTGTTGTGTTAATTAGGTCACCGGGAAAGAGTTTTCCCGTACACTAATTCTCTAAGAAAAAGGGGTGGCGTGTTGGCCCCAGCAAGCAGAGCCAAAATTTAAGGACACTTTTGTTATTTTGAGGAGCTCTGATAGTTGAAAAACAGTCACAACTACAATAAGAGTATCCCACCGACCATGTAAACCGTAGAGTTCCTACCGCCTCAATATCCACAAGTCCTAGAATCCAAAGCTCACCCCCCCAAAACCCCTACGACAGTGAGAATTCTGTCTTGGTGCTCCCTCCAACGTCCTATGTGTCCCGGCTCCTACCCTCCCACCAAACTCTCTTCTTACCTCTACATGGAACATCCGCTGCCGCTGAGGGTGGGAGCTGAGTCCGTGGCAGAAACTAGAGCGCCTACGTGCCGAGGGTGTCAATGTCACACTAGTATTCCATACCACTCGGGGTCGCAGAAATACGCCTCATATTGAGAGTGGATAACAGGAACAACGCCTTAGACCTTAGTGTAAGCGCGGCCACCATCCGTCTAACTCGAGCCTGCTAAACGCATGGCTCGCGAGCACCCGGGATGGTTGGCCCCGCGGTGTGGTGCAGAGACATTGGAACCGGGATCGACTGTTCAACAAGACTATTGTAGGCAAGTGTTTCCTGTTTGATTGTTGGGTAGCGAGATGGGAAACAGCATTAACTTAATTGGGGATCGGAATGTGTATGATTAGCGCTCACGACCACTTTAGTAGTGATTCACTCACTCGGCTCGGCTACCACTCAGCGGGCGCAGGTAAGGCGAAGCCTCCATAACAGCAGTCGTCTGATATATCAGTGCTTCAGGATAAAATGGAGTTTGTTCAAAACCTGCTAGTCCGATTGGTAATAAACCCCGAAAGCAGGAACAGACACACGGTTCACAGGACAGATGGAACTCGGGAACGAAGATCCCCAGCACCGTACCTGTAAAACCCGAAATACTTAAGATTCGCGCTAGGACGTTAGAGTTGGCACTCCTAGTAAGGTCTGTTGTCTCAGCCGAGGGCTGAAGGGGGCCCGTCCGCTATATTTCCCTAAGTTAATCCCGAGGGGGAAATTCTGGAAGTCCTAGGACCATTCTCGGTTATTTCAGTTTAAAACGTTATCAGATGAGAAACCCGCGCCCGCGGCTGGCTGGTATGATAAGGAACGGGATCGGGATAGAGTGAGGGAGAAAATTGAGACTACGTGAACCTAGAGAATGCGGTGTTATTTTTGATACCTGCACTAAAGGCTCAAAATTTTCACGAGAGATTTTACATGATTCCTGTTGGCTCGGAAAGGGTTCGTTGGGCCCATTCCCTGAAACTGTCTTAATTTACACCCTCTGCATCGTCACTCGTCTACCGGAAAATACACCTACCGATCACCCGGGGCAGAGCACCCGCCACCACAAGAGCAATAACTCCCCGGGAACACAGCATCGGGTTCCAGGGGTTGGCCGGGCCGGTTTGGATGTCTGCTGTTTGACACCCCTGGATCCGGCCCAACCGAAGCAAGAGAGGTCAATAGTGGATAGAACGTAGCAGCGCAGACCGCCATTTTGTACAGTTTTTCGCTGATTGATTTTCGGGAGAGGTTATCGGCGGTGAGAAACTAACTGCCTAAGACTTCCATCAGTCACTCTCGGGGTTTCCAAAATTTGAATATCCTGCTCGCTCGAGTCCGTCATCCATCGTCCCAAGCTAAATCTCACTTCCGCATTTTCAGCCTTATGAATATGGTGGTGGGGGTTCCTCCGGCCCATAATTGCAACAATTTCCAGGAATTGAACACAGATCCTGCATTACCATCAAGGCGGACCCAGGTGGAACCCGAAGATGAGGAAAGCCTCTGACAGTAATAGATGCTTGGAATCAACTCATACCTGTTAACAAATTTGACTTGCAGAAATCTTTGTAGGGCGATGGGAAATTCTATGTGCAATTATACTCCGGCGGGGGGCTCTAGTGACTAATATGTGATTACGTGTCTATAGAGTGCTGGATCTGAAAAATGAAAATAAAAGCGAAGAACAGAGAAAACAAGACCATAAACAATGCATCCCCCAAGAGAAAAGAAGACACTATCTCATTAACAGCCCTCCATGAACCTGTAACAATGGCCTTATTCCGCTTGGAAAAGGAAGGAAAGGGGTGGGTGAAGGAAAATAAAAAAGTGGATAGGGCGCTCCAAAGCCCAAGACCAGACCCAACTAACAAATGAATAAATTGGTAAGTCATCATGACACTTCCCTTCTCTTCTAGACCTTCCACGCCTTCCCAAGCTTCCCAGCATGTTCAGAGAAGCTCTCATCAACCTGCTCCCGCCACCAGGGTCTTCTTGATAGATTCACAGGCTAAGGGTAAGTGTGGACATATCCCCATAGGATGGGAAACATATCCAGTTTTGATCTCAAGGGCCGGTAGTATTCGACGGCGGATCGGCAGGGACTTTCACGATATCGCGAACGAACGAACGAACGAACGAACAGCGAACGGCCAGCGAAAACGAGCGAACGAACAAGCGAGCGGCGGCGCTAACGGCGGTATGAAACTAAACGAACGAGTGATGGACCGTAAAACGAAACAACTCCAAGATCACTCACGTGAACGATCTCACAACTCACAGCGGGGGGAGAAAAACTCTTCACTGCAACAACCTCACTCTCACTATCGCGCACTCTGTCTATCTAACTAACGGTAATGACAGGAGTATATATCAACGACACAAAAAGACAACAAAGTCCTAACCTCCCCCCCCGGGTGGGTCTCCCACACATGAGCAAACACGAAAAGCTAACAAAGAAAGATAAACTTCGGCTACCAAACCACCTGCCCCCCCGGACCTCACTTCTTGCCTTCATGCCTTCCTCCCAATGCACCATCCGCTATCCTTCCGGCGGATGCACGTCCCCAAAGACTCCCGCGCACTGCCACACACTGCCACACACTGCCGCGATCGAAGCTCTTTCCCGAAAAGCCAAACTGCGCAGGCAGAAGCGTATGCGTCTAAACCCATATCGCGCCCGAAACCGAAGGGCGCTCCCGAAGAGTGTGCGAACAAACCAACTAGACCATCGTGGGGGGGGGGGTGCCGAGAAGCACCTCACAACTTCCAAAAGGTAGTAAGAATAATAATAATAAAGAGATTAGGTCAAACAAGTGTCAATCCGAAGGTAGTAATGAAGGACACGGACAACTTCCGTGATGTGGAACGAGGGGCTTTGTTTGAGGTGTTAGACTGGGTGCGGAATAAAGGGAATCGACTGATATGGGGCTTCGAGACGCCGGATGCCCGGTGGGGTCATAGATCCGGGTGTGAATATTCGAGTGAACACTACCTGAGGTAATTCGAAATTTGAAGAAAGCGGCGGAAGGCTTCCAAGGTATTCGGTGGCAGCAGGATGGATGGGATCGAAGGAATGAGCAGTTGTTTGTTTAGGGTGCGGAATAGAGTACGGTTTGGGGGTGCAGACTGCCGGGAACACGGCGCACGAAGGCAGGAGCTGGGCTTTCTTGCAGCGGTTGCGCGACATACCAGTAGGAGGAAGAGTGAACGAATACGGTATATGAAAGGGGCAACTTCAAGAATCGGTGGTGGCTGAAGTGTGAAAAATGGAGTCAAAGGGAATGAAGAGTTTGTGAATGAGAAGCGAAACGAGTGAACCAAGCGGAGACTAGTTATTTTTGTGACCTTGTCCCTTCATAATTTTGCGGACAAACGAGACCTCTTAAATACATAAGTCAATCAAAACTCTTCTGTAGTCCTTCGAACATAATCACGCCATTTCCATATCTTCTGACACCATCTCCTTACCCCTTCTTTCCTCCTTCACTTTCCTGCTCTTGCATACCTGCTTACCCCTCACTCTGGATAGTTCACCGGGTACCCCGCTCCGGTGAATCATCCGTTATTCTTCTCGTATGTTCCAGCTCAAGCAGAGGGGGAAAGGTCTCGGAAGGAGCGCCGGTGAATAACAACATGAAGGAATAGGATATTCGAATGGCTGAAGAATTGAAAGTCCCTAGCTGATTGTGCTACATGAGCCATCCGCCGAAGTCTCTAAATTGGGATCTGCCCCGTGTGTGAGGAGAAACTGCACAATCGATTCACGGCCAAAGTTTTGCGCTGCTCGTAGTGCGTTGCCATTCGAGCCACCCTGAGCATTCACATCTGCCCCACGCTCGAGGAGAAGTCCCACAACCGATTCATTTCCGTTTTTTGCAGCTGCTTGTAGTGCATTACCATAATGGCCACCCTGAGCAT